ATGTATATATATATATATATACATATATATATATATATATTATATATATAGATATAGATATAGATAGATAGATAGATAGATAGATAGATAGATTGATATAGATACATCTGTGTGTGCACAGAGAGAGAGAGAGAGAGAGAGAGAGAGAGAGAGAGAGAGAGAGAGAGAGAGAGAGAGAGAGAGAGAGAGAGAGAGAGAGAGATTTTAGTCAGTCATAACTATTTGCAAACGAAAATATACAAACAATATGTAAACGCAATTACTCATGCAGACACAGACACACACGCACAAGCACACCAATTGCGACTGAACTCAAGGTCTCCATAGACACTGTCTGAACCTCAATATGGACAGAAAAACCTTTCTGAATGTTTACCGGTAACATGGAGGAGAGCGTACAGATATACATTAAAGGACGTTGTATGAGTATTATGTAGATATTTATCGATATTTACTTTAACTCGGATCGTCTTGCTTCGTCCTTAATTTTTCGGTTAATAACGTTGTTTCTGCGCGTACCCACCAAGGTCAAGACAAGTAACAGTGTAACTACCATTCCCGGTACGAAGCGTGGTATTTTTATCGTTATCATTATTATTATTAACAATATTATTATCATTGTTACTATTATTATCATTATTACTATTATATTACTATCATTATTATTAACAGCATTGATGTTATTATTATCATTACTACTATTACTATTATTATTATTATTATTATTATTTCATTATTATTATTATTATTATTATATCATCATCATCATCATTCACCATTATTTATTATTATTATTATTACTATTATTATTTTTTATTATTATTATTATTACTACTATTATTATTATTATCATCATCGCCATCATTATCAACATTGTTATCATTATTATCACCATTATCATCCAGAACGCCTTTTCTTACGACATAAACAAAGTCTATTAAATATACGTTTTGTGTTGAACGCCAAAGCCAACTCGTGAAGCCCAAACCTAGTGTATTGTGCTGTAGAAAGCATATCCCACGAGGAAAGACGCAGGAATGAGAGAGACAAATAATAAAAAAAGAGAGAATCAGGGTCTATAGAAGATAACTTGATACACATACAGTCCACGCTGGTTCAACTTTGTTCCAAAATTCGCATATTTGGTAACGTCTTGTTCCCGAAGATGATTTTTCCCCATGTTGTTTTTTCTTTAGAACTCATATTTTGATCAATGGGATAATCAAAGAAAACTAAAATAAAGGACACCGTTCTCACGATCCACTTATAAATGTAAAAATTACCGTTCCGTTAGACAAGGTTGCTCATTTTTATAATACATCCAATACTAATATGTTAGCTCACACCCACACACTCATACACACCTATACACACCACGCCACGCCCACACACCCACACACGCACACCCACATACACAGAGGATGTGTAGGATAAAAATATAGACCAAGCATTTCATCTGTACAACTTTATTAATGATCCATATAGTTGAAAGTTCTTTTTGTGTATAACACAGAAATAATGTACATACAAATAAATGTACACCCATTTATCACTTCATTTTCAAAAATCACACAAAAATACAAACTACATATTAAAATTGGCTTTTGAGCGAGTGAGAGTGAGAGAGAGAGAGAGAGAGAGAGAGAGAGAGAGAGAGAGAGAGAGAGAGAGAGAGAGAGAGAGAGAGAGAGAGAGAGAGAGAGAGAGAGAGAGAGAGAGAGAGAGAGAGAGAGAGAGAGAGAAAGAGAGAAAGAGAAAGAGAAAGAGAAAGAGAAAGAGAAAGAGAGAGAGAGAGAGAGAGAGAGAGAGAGAGAGAGAGAGAGAGAGAGAGAGAGAGAGAGAGAGAGAGAGATAGAGAGATAGAGAGATAGAGAGATAGAGAGATAGAGAGATAGAGAGATAGAGAGATAGAGAGAAGAGAATAGAGAGAGAGAATAGAGAGATAGAGAGATAGAGAGATAGAGAAAGAGAAGAGAAAGAGAGAAAGAGAGAAAGAGAGAGAGGGAGAGACAGAAAGAAAGAGAGAGATAGGGGGGGATCACTCTCTCATTAAATGCTAGTACCAAAAATATACACACATGACATTGGCCTCCATTCCATTTTCCAAAGACCTTTTTTTCTGCAATCAAATCCATGTATATACACATAAAAAATACACAATAATTTGTACTCATCCCATTTTGTGTTTTTGGTTTATTTAACCCTGATCCCATGATAAGATAATTATGCATATTTGCAGGAAAAACAAAATCTAAATTGTGCGTTGACGTAAAATGCAAAAAAAAAAAAAAAACAAATACAAAGGATAAATAAACTTCCTTATAAAGCAATGAGTACAAAGCAATATTATCATTACATACAGTAGATATATTCTATTACCAGACATCAACTATCCACTATTTTCTATACAACACAACATTTCAGGATGGCACTGTCTATTCTTTTATCACAAATTATTAGGATGGCAAATAAGAAAGGAAAACCATGACAAGATTCAAAG